GTCATTCTGGAAGGAATGTGTGTGGTGTTTTCAGATGAGGTCTTGAAGCTTTTTAGGTTGGAGTCACATTTGATTCAAACCATCTGTTTAATGTGAAGTTAAACCCAGCACTTTTTTCGTACATCTCTCACAGCATTCATCAATTCCATTGCATAAATATTTGTTGAAGGCACAAGGAGTGCCAAGAATTGGGGTCACAGAAGTGAATGGCACAGTTTTCCATTTTCAAGATTCTTATGGTTTTAGTGCAAATAAGATTGTGTGTATACACGTTTTCTTCTTCATCGTGAAGTCAGTGCTTGTAATTTATAAGGATCTTGGTTGTCAGGTCTGAGCGTTGCACCAACGCGCTCTTATTTATGTAATGAATTCATGAAAGATGTGTGATTTACTGAAAGTGGCTACTGCACTGTGTAATATTATTGTGCATTATTGCTGTGTGATATGTAGATTCAGACTGCAGTTCCTTCTGGTCACAGAAAACAGACTTCACAGCGAGGTAGTGACCAAAAGTGCGGCACTGGAACATAATAAAGATGCTGGAATAGCTGACAGAAACAAGCTATTTTGTTTTCTGAGATTTAAAATAGGCTTTTAATATGATGAAAAGGCAGCTATTATGTGACACAGTAAGATGTTGGTAATGTTAGATGTAACCATTTTTCCACTTTTCTGAGCTGGTCATGAAAATCACACTAGTCACTTCATCTTTTCATTTGCAAGGTACTGTGGTAGGCAATTTAGGGCTCTTTAAGGCAAAAGGGGCTTTCAAAAAAAAGTTTAAAATTACGTATTTTTTTATTTTAAAGAGACAAAGAAAACAATTACAAAATGACAACAATGAAGACAAAAAATACAAAAACAATACAGGATTTCAAAACAAGATGATAGGAATTAACAATGGTTGTTATATTACATATTGTTATCTTCAGTGAACTTGCGCAGATTACCAGATGCAAGAATGCAAGATTGATCAAACAATTAAAGACAATAACAAGTAATAAAAAACACATTAAAAATGATACAGAGCTTCATAAAACAAGATAGTAAGAATTTAGCAATGGCTGTTATATTGCACATTGTTGTCTTCAAACCAGTTGTCCTGATTACCAGATATAAGCATGCAGAATTGGTCAAGAGAAAAGAAAAACAAAACAAAACAAAAACAACAATATAAGCATTAACTGTTCCTTTCAACAAACCAACAGACATCAGCAAAACACTTATCTCAGCTACCCTTGTAGATACATATGTATTTTATCATTTTTTCTTTAATTTTAAAGAGGAAAATATCAAAAACAAAATAACAAAATCATAGGAATTAACAAAACAACAGAAAAACAATGAAAATGATATAGAATTTCAAAACAAGGTGAGAGGAAATCAACAATAGTTGTTATACAGCATATTGTTATCTTCAAAGTAGTTGTCCAGATTACCAGATATAAGCATGCAAGATTGAGCAAAAAAATGTTAAACATTAACTGCTCCTTTCAATAAATCGATAGAAACTAGTATTACAATTATCTTAGCTATCTTGTGTATATAAATATACCTATTTTTTCCCTTCCTTCTTTCTCTTTTCCCTCATCCAAGTTGTTCTTTCCAAATTGAGCCATTGCTTTCCCTTTCACAATATCTATTGTAGTTTTCAGATTTTATTTACTCTTTCAGGTTCTTATACTAGGGAGGCAATACGATGTTTACACGTGTGTCTGATTTATTTCACTTAAGAGTATGGTCTCAAGTTACATCCATTTACCTATAAAAGCCTCTAGGTTATCTTTCTTTATAGCTGAGTAATACTCCATCGTATAAAAATACCACATCTTTTTTATCCATTCCTCAGCTGATGGACATTTGGGTTGTTTCAAAGATTTAGCTATTGCAAATTGTGCTGCTATAAACATGTGTACACATATATCGCTGTGGTATGATGTTTTCAATTCTTCTAGAAAAATACCCAGCAGGGGAATAGCTGGGTTGAATGGGACCTCTAATCCTAGTTTTTTGAGGAATCCCCACCAACAGTGGAGAAGGATTCCTTTTCCCCATAGCCGCTCCAGCATTTGTTATTGGTTGATTTCTTGATGGTAACCATTCTTTCTGGGGTGAGATGAAATCTCAGGGTTGTTTTAATTGGCATTTCTCAAATGACTAATATGCTGAACATTTTTTCATGTATTTATTTATTTGCCATTTGTATTTCTTTATCTGAGAAGTGTGTATTCATCTCAGATGCCCATTTTTGGATTGGGTCTTTGAATTTTGGGGGTCTGACTTTTTAAAATTCTTTACATGTTTTAGACAGGAGTCCTTTGTCTGAGGGACAGTTGGCTAAAATTCTTTCCTAATTCGTGGGTTTTTAGTTTCACCCTGGTGGTGATTTCTTTTGATATGCAAAAACTTTTCAATAAGATGAGATTCCAGTTGTTGAATCTTTGAAGTATTTCCCTGGCAGTTTGGTTTTTGTTTATGAACTCTCTGCCTGCTCCTATGTCTTCAAGATTTCCACCTTCTTTCTCTTCCATTAGCTCCAGTGTTTCTGTTTTAATATTTATATCTCTAAGCCTTTTGGCTTTATTTTGGTGCATGGTGGTAGGCGAGGGTCTAGCTTTAGTCTTCAGCATGTGGAAAGTTAGTTTTTCCAGCACCATTTATTAAAGAGGCTATCTTTCTTCCAGTGTACGTTTGCCCCTTTGTCAAAGATAAGGTGGCTAAGTGTGTTCACGGTTGTGGTTGCATTTTCTAGTCTCTTCCATTGATTTTCAGGTCTGTTTTGACAATACCACATTGATTTTATCACAGTAGCTTTGTAGTATAATTTCAAGTCAAGGATTATGACACCTCCTGCCTTTCCTTTGTTGCCCAGGATTGCTTTTGCTATTCTGGGTCTCTTCTGGTTCCACATGAATTTTAGGAATTTTTTCTCTAGATCTGTGAGGTACACCAATGGTATTTTCTTGAGATGGCACTGAATCTATATAACAATTTTGGGAGTATGCCCATTTTCACAATGTTGATTCTTCCTATCCATGAGCAAGGAATATCTTTCCATTTTCTGAAATCCTCTTCAATCTCTTTTTTCAGGGTACTGTAATTTTCACTGTAAAGATCTTTTACTTCCTTTGTTAGATTGATTCCTAAGTATTTCAATTTTTTGGATGCTATTGTGAAAGGTATGGTTTCCCTAATTTCTTTCCCAGTGTGTTTGTTGTTTGTATATAGGAATCTTATTGTAAAACCATGTATTGATATTATTCTTAACCAGCTGCACTTGGTGATCATGAACCTTTGAAATAGTCTACAAAATTGCGATATATGTGTATTTTTGTGAGATCATTCTCCAAATTATCCAGTGGTTCATATTCCTAAAAGATGAAGACTATCTTTAGAAGGATCTAACTAGAGAAAAAAATGACTTCACATGAGGATGATAGTCTTGGTTGAACAACACAGGTGGCACATGGAGCATTTTCATTGTTAAACCTTGGGCCAGTTTTGCAGAAAATTTCTTTGCTGTGTGATAAACATATATCATACTTTATGTATATGAGTTATCTTTCCTTCCCTTTCCATTTTTCAGTTTGTCTAAGGATTTTTCTCTATTAAGCTGACACAAGTTGTTTGTGTATGCTCCTGTATCAACTTTGATGACGGTAAACTAATTCTCTGAAGTTTTTAGATTCACAATTACGTGTTTTTATAGTCAATTCTCTAATATTTTTTCTTTGTATTTTATTTAAATACTTTCCACATCCACAGAGCTGCTAGTCATGTAAGTTCTTATGGTTTGTGTTCCAGTTCGTTTTTTTTTGACCGCGGGTCACATGTTTTCAGCTGTCTTCTTTGGCCCAGGTCATGTCAGGTATGCATCTGGCACCAGGAGAAAGAAAATAAGGGTAGGCTCTGCTCTCACCAATGGAATTTGGACAGTAAGATGGTTAGCTCAGTGGTTCCTGGGGACAGTCTTCGTAGATCTGAATTTGGCTCTTGTTACTGAACACATGAACTTTCTAGCTTATACTATATATTTTTGGGAATAAAAATTGATATATAAATCGCTTAGGACAAAAGGCAGCAACAGTTTAGTTCACACCCTGTAGGTGCCTTGAAGCTTGACAGCGTTTCAATATATAGTTTGTATTTCTAAAATCTTGAACATTAAAAAAAAAATCTTGAACACATCAAGGTGATTTTCAGGCGCAATAACTTCTTTCACCAGAGCCTCCAACCGCCGTTTTTCTGAGAGAGACACGCCCCCTAGAGGCCACAAGTGAATTTCTCTTGGAGCTCTGGAACTGCAGACAGTGGGGCTCAGGTTCGCAGTTGGACGTGTGGAAAATGAGCCACGCAGCCTTTATCCTCAGCGCTTTCTCGACCCTCACTTCCCTGCGAGCCTGAGGTCTCCTAGTCCTATTGTTTCTGCGAGTGCGCGCTCCCGTTCTGAGATACTGTAAGAACACTGCGCTCGCTGGGCCAGCACTGTGTGGAAGCCAGCCCCATGGGGCTTGCACCCGAAAGAAGAAACAAAAGATTTTATCCAGCGTAGAGCAGCAACTAATGATTCCTCTCAGCTTCTGTTTTCTCATCTGCAAAATGATGAGACCTCCCTTGTAGGGTCGCTGACATTCGGCGAAGGGAAAGTCCCTAAGAGGGGGCCTGCTCTTCCACGTTCCTGCTGCGAAGGGAGGCTGAGTGTGGACCGTGCCCAGGGCCGGGGCCTCGGCGCGGGCCCAAAACAAAAACAAGCCCCCACCCCATACAAAACTTTTTAAGTAAGCAAAGCAGTTGAAAACTCCCTCAGTCCGTAGGCGCGCTCCTCTGAGCATGCGCGGAGCCGCGCGGGATGGGCGGGACGTCCGGGGGCGGGCCTTATGGCTCTTCTATCACTTCCGCTTCCGGTCCTAAATGAAATCTCCCGCCACCGGAGCAAAGAGGCTGTCAGCTTCAGTGTTTTCGCGCGTTGGGGTGTTCGCAGGTAAAGAAACTCGCGAAATGACTTAGGACGGAGAGCAAACCTGGTATTGAGGCTTGCAAAGTCACTTTCCCGGCAGTGGGAGCAAGTTTCCTGGAGGGGCAGGGTTGTAGGTGGGTGAGGGAGAGAACCTTCCACCTTGGGGGATTTGAGGGGTTCAGGGTGGGGGCTTTTAAAAGCTTTTGTGGTCGGTTCCCAAAATTAGTTTCAAGTGACTGGACTCAAAAGACATTCTGCTTCCCAGGTCATCGGATAGAAGGTAACAGTCCATTAAATCTCTCATCTAGCCAGATTTTGGAATGGCACCCCTAGAAAACCCCATCTTAACTCTTAGGCATCATAGCGATCTAAGGACGGTGACAAACAGGCCCGCAGTGAGCAGAGCATCACCTGACTCATTTTGTAAAAGGTTAGGACCATCCATAAACCCTCTGCGTCACCCCTTACAGAATTATAACAGGTATATTGTAGAAAGTCTGGAAAATACAGAAGCACGTCACCCAGGAATCACCACTTTGAACGTTTTGTGCATGCTTTCAACTTCAGTATGTTTTTTTCTGTGTGTGTGGGTTCACTTTTTTTTTTTTTTTTTTTTCTCCAACTTTTCTTATGCTTCCTTTCAAAGGTGACCAAGATGCAGTTTTCTGGAAGGAGGAGGAATCTGAGGTTGGCCGGAGACCAGAAGAGTGCTTGTTACCCGCATAGCCTTCAGTTTTACCTGGAGCCACCTTCTGAAAACATTTCTCTGATAGAGTTTGAGAACTTGGCTATTGATAGACTTAAATGTAAGTGACATTTAAATTAGAATACATAAGTGCTTGAGAAGCTCAGTTATAATTTGTGAGAGTGAATGAAGACCTTCTTTCAGCAATCCATTCACCAAATATTTATTGTTTGTTGGTGAGCGTTTGCTATTCATTCATTAGAAAACATATGTATTGAAGGCTGTTGTACTGTAAATGGCTGAGAGAGAATGCAAATCATATCTTTGTTCTAGTACCTGCAGAGAGACATCTAAAATAATAGTCATAAGTATTTTTACTGCTTTAATTGAAGTAAATAGTAGTGCTGTACAAGCATAGAAGTGGGAGTAACTGACTTAGTCTGATTGAGCAAGGCTTCTTGGAGAAGTCAAAATGTGATGTGGTCCTTGAAGGATGAGTAGAAAACTTCAGCAGAGAAGTGAAAGTTTTTTCAAGCTGACACATGCTAATACAAAAGTTTGGAGGTGTGAAAGATTGTCTTGCTTGAGGGCCTGGTGATAAGTTCAGGATGGATAGTGAAGTATGGATAACTAAGGACATTTTGTGCCATGCTTATGGCATAGGATTGGGTTGTCCCAGGGATCTGGCCGCTATACTGGGACCCTGTTTCCTCTTTTTTTTTTTTATTTTAAAGAATAAAAGAAGGATAACATAATAATAGGGGGGACTTAGCAAATTACAGACAAAATGGTAGGAAATTATCAATGGTTATCGTTTTATGTATTATTATCTACAAAATAGTTTCTCAGGAAAACAAATAGACAAATAATA